AAGCATACATATGTCCATCATAGCGACAAACTTCACTTTCATTCTAGGGATATAAGGAGAAGTGGGGTAAGTGCAGACTGGTTTTTGTAAAGTTGGTATTTAAACGTAAGCATTTTCAGTCTCCTATGTAAATACTTAACGCTGTCGATATGGAACACTTTGCACAATTACTACTATTTAATTAATATTAACTAGGATCTTAATTTTCCTTGTACATTTTGATTTTGATAGGAAATTGTTTAAAATGTCAACTACTCTGTACTTTCCCCGAAAATGGGGTAAGAGCGTAACTTGAAGTTAAATACTTTGAAACTTTATTTCATGTGCAATGGGACAAGAGCAAAATTATTAACAAATCTGCTATAAAATGCTTTATACTGCATTATGCAAGTACTCTATACTGCAAACAAGTACTCTTGGCTGAAATATAGATGGGGATATAGTGAAACAAAACAAGGAAACAAACATACTAAATGGAGAAATTTCGCTCATATTGTAATAAAAATAGCTTCTATACGCACTTGCCCCGTTTACGAACTTACCCCACCTCATCTTAGCTTGAAGAGTACTATTTCTAACTCAACTTAACATATTTTATAATTAAAAATGAATGAATATCATGAATTATAAAACACAATTTAGTCAGTTTAGATTAATATCTTTCCAAATATTTTTTCGTTAATAATTTTGTAATAAACAATGATTGATTAAGTTATAGGACGAAGCTATTCAAGAAGATAAAATCAAAATATGCCAAGGTGTATCCTTTTGTCAATATTTACCAATTAATAAAGTTAATTAAACGCAACTATGGAAACACTATCTAATGATTTGCAATCAAGAGGATACTCATACTCAGCCACTTATTGTGCCTATTTGATGCTAAAATAAGTTGATCAATCGTTTAACTCGAAACTGTAGTTTATTTGCGCGTGGACAAAGAGAAACTTTATTGGTGTTTAGATAAATTGGATCGTACGAATTTTCGGAGAGGGAGAAGTTGTGTAATGTGAAAATATTAGATCGGTGCACGTAAAATGTGTTTTTTGAAAGAATCGTTACACTTTACATTAGCAAGAAATATCTGTAATTTATTGCATATATTGTGTTGGGTATTTTATGTTACGGATTGAGATAATCGAGTGATTTTTGTTGACGCTTTCACATTTATTTGATTTATTAATAGGATCAGCATAAATCGTGTGGAATGCGTGGATTATGCCATATTTGACACTTTGCTGTATACGTAAATTCATAGAGTAGAGAATTAGAAGACATTGTATTATTATTTAATTAAAAATTGTTCATTTCTTTTCGGTTTTCCAAATTTTCCAAATTTACAAGTTTTTAAATTCAAAAATTTGTAAACATTCAATTTGCAAATTTTTAAATACTTTACTAGTTTTTTATTACAAGAGTGTTGATATATTCGACTTTACAAATTCTTAAATATCAAAGATATCAAGTTATTAATTTTTTAAATTAACGTTTCACATTGCTAGATTAAGGAAATACGTAAATTTAAATATGTAAATTTTAGAATCGGTAAAATCTCCATTTCTATAATTTCCGAATTCCTGAAGTTCTAAATTCTTATATTTTCAAATTTCTTAATTTAAAAGTATCCAAATTCTCAAGTTAACGAATCTTCAAATTTTCAAATTCTCGTATTTCTAAATCTTTAAGTTACTATAACTCCAAATTTCCAAATTTTCAAATCTTCAAATTTTCGAATTTCCAAATCTTCATATTCCTAAATTGTTCGATTTCTGAATCTCTAAATTTTTTAATTTTCAAATTTTCAAATCTTTAAATCTCCAAATTTCCAAATTTCCAAATACTAAAATTCCTGAACCCTCCACACTTTGAGAATAAATATTATAATATCAAGATAAGTATAAAGTAATTTTTGCAAATTACTTTCGAAATACTAAATCTCTGCTAAAGATACTCAAAGAGTTTTTATTTATCGCATAAACCGATTCCCATTTAGATGATCAAGAATCGTAAAAGAACGAATGCGATTTACTTGAATCAATTGTAACTGATGTAACATCATCGAATAAACATTTTACGTGCACAGACCTAATATAATTGCTTGACCCTTAAAAATAATATAATTGCACTTCTCATACTCTCTCAAGGTTAATATCGTATGGCTCCACGAACACCTCTTCGTAAAAATTATAATAAATCCTTACAGAGCCTCCACAACATTCTTGCTGCTTTTACAAACGCATGTACATTGTGAAAGTCACAAACTCGGAAACAATTACTGAATAACCAAAAATTCCTAAACTGTAATTAATTATTTCAATATTTTGACTAGATCGTTCTGCACTATGAAAAATAACGAAATCGAACGATATTAATATGCTAATACTAATAGCAATTAATAAGTTAATATGCTAATAAAATTGAAAGTCTAAACTGAGAAATTAAATAATTACATCTTCAGTAAACGACATGGTAATGTGCCACAGTAAATATGGCGACTGCGACAATTAACATGTTAAAATACTATTCCTGTCACGCTTTGGAATTATAGTTTGAATTAGGATAACATAAAAGAATCGTAATTTGTACCATACACGTGATATTTCACCGAGATAATGTTTAAGCAGAGGTGGCCATTTGAAATCAAGTTTGCCCATTTCGTGCTCATTCTTCAATATGTCGATAATTGTCGGTAAGAACGATTTCTCAAAAAGTAGTAACGTAATAAGAATAATTATATATATCGGTTTCATGCGGAGATAATACTATTGTGAAGACAAAATTAAGTGATCGAGATATGGAGTTGATTATAGATAATGATTATGAATAAGATGCATAAGTACTAAATTGAGATTACTGTACACTCTGAGTGCTTTTAGAATAATACATAACCGAGATTAATATCAATGATGCAAATCAATATCAATGATATAAATAGATGATATCTAAAATATTTAAGATACAAATAAATAGTGTTTAGGGAGAAAAAATAAATAGACGAAAACATGGAAAGATTATTTTTATAAAGAGATTTCGAATTAAACGATTAATTGCATCAAATTGTTGCAATGTTGAGATTATTTATAAAATAAAGTCATAATATTGTATGTTATTTGCTATGTACAAAGTATAATTATTGATTTAGATAAATACAAAATACTTATGTATTTTTATTGTGAAATTATACCTTGAGAATTCATACTTACCGACAGGTATTGATGTGGATATAAAACATGAAACTTTGTGTAAGAATACAAAGTAGAAATGGGTCAGATTTGACTCCGTTTGGCCACTTTTTGTATACAGGGTGTCTTCCGAAAAAATGTGAAGGTATATTCTGTAGGTACAACAAAAAGTGTCAGATAAAATTCTTCAATATTTTGTGACAATGTTATAAGCAAATACTTTTATATAAATAACAATCAATTTCTTATAGCAGCGTATAAAAGACTGTGTTGTCTTGTTTGTATAATTAATGTTATTAAAATCAATTACATAGTATTTTCAATTTTTTATTTTAAGCAGCCATTCTCGTATGCAAAAGTGAGTTTAATAACTCTAAAGTTATTGAAAATTTTGTAATTGTGAGAATGTTCGATATATTTAGTATCCAATCATTTCATATAGTTATCATGCAATAATATTTATGACAAAATTACAGAGCTTTTTTTAGTTTTTTCTAGCTTTCTGTTATAAATAAAATTTATGTTATAGAAGAATATAACGAGAAAATTTATTATAATTTATAGCGAAATTATAATTGGGTTAGACCTAAATTTTATTTATCTAATTTTAAGTCTAACAAATTACTTGTAAGTTAAGTCACTTGTAAGTTAAGAAAATTTAATTTGATATACAATAACAAAATTAAGATTTAAAAAATAGTTCAAAACGTTATTCATGAAAACGTATGTAATTTTATTGTGTCATTCTACGCATTTAATGATTAGATTATAAATATATTAAAATTCAACACTTCCATTGCTGAAACTCAATCAATCTATTAAACTCTCTAACACATATCTGTATTGTTAATTAATACTATGCGATAGTTCCTCAATTTATTTCTATAAATAAAAATCAAGAGGTAAAAGCACAAAATTAATCTTCTACAATTGTTACTAATATTTGTTTATAATTTTGAAGAAAAATAATTATGACTGCAATAATTTAGATTTTTGTTTATACCTACAGAATAAACCACCACACTTTGTCAAGTAAAAGGACACCGTGTATAGTCTAGAAATTTTTCTTCGAACTAATTTTCGGAAATTTTGTAACACTTCAATAGTGCGAGAATCGAACAAATACGAAGTCCTCGACAAAACGTAAGATATTGTAAACTGACCGCGAGCTTACGTATAAATTAATTTTAAACGTAACACGGTATATATAATTCCGCTGACGCGTAACATTTAAGAAATATTCGCACCTTCGTTCTTATTAACATAGTACGCGAAACATTACTTTTAGTTTAAGTCTTCGTCTTAGATATGAATATCTAAATACAGGATTAAATCACTATAAACCTTAAATTTGCAAAAGAACTTATATTGTTACTTTTCAGACACGTACAGTTATTTTCTATCTCATTCTTTCGTAAAATCATGCGAATTATGTTTTATTCGATCTAGAATAAAGAATATAAAATTTCACTAACGTGGTAATGTCCAAACCAACCATGTAGATGGCGGCATAAGCAGAAGACGATTCTTCATGCAGAAGTAAGCTGAAAATGTGTAATGAAACTTTCTTGTACGAGATTTCGTTTTTTGGAAATATCGTTTTTAATAATTCAAGTAACTATTTAATTTTGTCACTTGTCATTTGTTTTATGATATCGATATGTATATAAAATAAATTGTGATTCAAATAATGCACTGGGCAAACCAGGCAGCAGTTGTTTCAAAGTGAAGTATACAATTTTTTAATTTATAAATTCAGAAATCTAGAAATTGAAAGATCAGGAAATTTAAAAATCTAAGAAGGCAGAAGACGACAAATCTAAATATCTAAAAATTTAGAAATCAAAATATCTAGAAAACTATAAATCTAGTAATCTAGTGATTTATGAACTTGCAGAGCTTTCCAAACTGAGAGATGTCTATATTTGGAAATTCTTAAATTTCAAAAACAAAAATTCTCCAGTTCATCAATGAATAAAATCAGTAGAATTCATAAAATTAAAAAATTTCAAATGTAGAAACTTTTAAACTTGCAAGTCCAAAAATCATAAATTTCAAAATGTAATAAGAATTATTCGAAAATCTTCAAATGCATTTCTATTCGAATAAGGAAATAGTCGTTCTCGAATTCTCTTTTCATTAGTCTCTCTTTTAATTCGAAGTCTATATCAGAAGCTTATCCGAATAATATCCAATTATGATAAACAATTAATCAATGCACCGTTTCTCTGCATATGTACTATTGTATTGATGTTCTGTCGAAGTAAACAATATTATAATGCGATTATCCAAGCTATACCCAGATATCTCCGTTTGAACTGCAAACAGTACAGAGGCACTAATTACGAAACTTGTCCCAATCATACAGCTTTAGTATTAAACTTATCAATAAAAATACATACATAAACGTGAACCTTAGCAGTTAAATTATTAACAAATAAGATTTAAAATAAACGACAATTTTAATGGGTTATAATATTGTAAATATCGAAGAACACACAATTACTGGTCCAATAATTTTTAACGAGATTCTACTGCAAAATGTTGAGAAACTCTTATCGACTTATTCAATTCGACTGATAATAAAATCAATCAAGATAATCGATTAAAGTTAGAAGCGATCTACTGACAAGCCAGGTTAAATCACTACGAGTTTAATCCGATTAAAGTCATAATAGTGTTTGTGAAGCTATCAAACATGCACAGAAATCTGTACTGAAGGTAAAATATTTCCATCAACACAAAATTGTTACAGTTTTGCACTCCTCTAATTTTAATTTCCCCGAAATCTCGTACGAGAAAATTTACTCGTACACTTTCGCCTTACCTTTGTCAAAGAACATCCTCCAGTTCGCTAATGGACCAATTACAGCACATTAACAAACAAAACACAAAGTCCTTTCGTACGAAGAGTCCCGTACGAAGGTGATGACAAAACGAGACGAAAGGAACGAACAGGTCAGTGATCAAATTGAAGAATAAACCTCGAGAACAAGCACTGGACGTACATAGAGAGAGAGTGCGACTAAAACGTAAAGAGGTGAGGATTTAACGGGCGAACACCTAAGTTAGTCCAGGCTTTAGAAACAAGCGTACACTCCCGCGGAGGTGATACGTTTTGGCCCACGAATCTCGACACAGAAGCTCAGGATCATAATAGAAAAGGAACGATCCCCTCGACTAGAATTACTTCAGGATTACATCATAGTCTCCCTACAGCTGGTCATGCTATCGAAGTCTAACTGTAAGTAAGGACAATCGTTCTCGCAGAACGCTGCACTGCCGGCTGCTGTCGGCTCGTTACACCAGCCCTCGGGATGCAACGTGCTCGTGAGGTAACACAGTACATCTAGGATCTCGTTAATGCGCTAGGAACCCGGATTCGCGTTTTCGCTGCTTCTTCGTCTGGCCTCGAGTTCCTGAGCGAGCATCGCCACTTCCCAATTATTGTGCCCTTGCCGACGTACTTCACCCTCCTCTTCGTCGTCGCTGTCGGTCCTGCCGCTTGCTCTGTCGTCGAACTCGTCCTCGGATCTACTGCTCTCGCTGTTCGATTCCAGGTTGATCGCCACCTCGTCCTTCCACAGACTGTGCGGCACGATCGAGCTGGGTAACTCCTGGAGCTCCAGCGTCTCCTCCTCGGAGTGCTCCTCCCACGACCTCCTGTTGTGAGAGCCGGACTCGGTGGTGGGCGAGGAACGCTTGTAATGTGGTCGAGTGGTCAGAACCGTGTCCACCGAACCGTCCCTCATGAAAGGATGATCCTCACGATCGTCATCCAGATCTTCCTCCAACGAGGCATCGTGCTCTGTGCTATCCCCGAGGGAGTCGTCTCCGTTCCGCGACTCACGCTGCTCCAATTCCTGTATCCTCGCCTGCAGCTGCGATATTATCTCGTCCCTTTTACGGATCTCCAGTTCTAACGACGTAAACTGCCGCTCGAATTTCGTCTGGATGTCCTCCTGAAATATCGTCGGTACAGATGAATCGATTGCTCCTTGCGGAACTGATAAACCAACGCACGGTATTGTATAAATTACCTGTTTAAATTATTGCTATGCTTTGGAGAACGTATCGAGTTCGGCGGAAAGTTCTATTGTCCGATACCTTTTGCTCGAAAGATATATGCGAGCGGAATATATTGTATTTCTAATAGATCGTTATCATCGTTGGGTTTTGAAAATTTTCAAGTTTGATACGATTGGGATATCTTTCAGAACTAATCGACTTATTGATAAGTTTCAGGAAATGTATCGATCAGACTGTTCTGCCAATTTCTACCTATTATTAAATAATACTATTCTTGCTCGTTTGGCTCGTTGGATTTAACAAATTTTTAAGTGCGTTTGGTTCGAATTTTTGATATTTACACTCGGTTTAAATTATTGCTATGTTGGAGTTCTTTGAAGAGTATATTAAGATAATTCAGAAGTTCTGTTGTCAATTACAATTTTTCACCTCAATTTTAAATGTTCCCTATGAACTTGTTTTATATAATACATCATAAGAAAACTAGTAAAACTAATAAAGTATATTTGGATTTATGAAATTCGATAAATGGGTACATCGCACAATTGCACAGATCAGAACAGGGTAAAATGGATTATACTTTGTCTTTGCAGACTTTTTTGAAGAGATTTGTAACGGGAAATGGATAACGTATAATAATATCAAGAAAAAATGTGCTAACTTTCAACGTGGACAATCATTCTCTCTGTCTTCATCAGGGAAAAATAATGCTTTAAACTCGGTGGGTCATTAAAGAACCGATACGATTTGAACTGTTGCAACCTGGCGGCATTTACAGATAAAAAGTGCTGTGATCAGCCGAATCGACTCGATAGAAAGAATTAAAGTGAACTATTGATAGTGATAGATATGAAGGTTGCGTTATGAAAGTCGCATTTCATCATGACTAAGATTAACATTAAATATTATTAACACTTCATAGAAAAATAAGACAATAAAATGGTGATTTGTCGAATATTTCAAATATTTTAACTATAATCTGAAGCAATAAGTTATTACTCATAATCTTGATTTTGCATAATTTTTATAAAACATTTTGTGCAGAAAAGTAAGGCAATGGAATGGTTGTGCATTTGAAGAATATTAGGGTAAAAGGAAGAAGATTTATGTTGAAAATTAATAAATTGCCAGATAAACGTAGAAATATTGTGCTATTTTAAAAGATTCATTTCTCTTAAAAGACAATAAGAAAATAGATGGGGATTTGTAGGAAAGTAAATATGGACGCTGTGATTGTCCCTCTCGTGGCAAATATGGGAAATACTACTGTAAGATGTTGCAGATTTTCATTTATTTACGAAATCAACTGCCATGACTTCGTTAACGATAATATTCCTTGATCAAACGTAGTCTAAAGAATTAATATTTTTTGAAAATACACATTTTTTAGATCTCAATTTCATTTGGTATATAAAATCTGTACTGTCATTTTGAAAGCTTAAACTTCAAATTAATAGAGCACGAATCGATTTCTGATAGAAATATACGAACATACTAGATTAATTAATAAATATATACATATACATGTATTTTTTAAGCTAAGAGCGATTTATAATTTTTGTCCCTACTTTTGTGTAATAAAAACTGACAAACATTTTTATTTTTCATTTTCTTTTTACCGTCAAACAGTTTGCTTTAAAAAAAAAAACAATAGGAAGTTGATTTCTATTTAAGTTGCAATGTGCTAAAATTTAAAAATCGTACAGCAACGTTAATAATATCTGTAAGTACTTCTAGTAAAGATACAAATGAAAATAACTGCGCTAAAAATGATAATATTGTGGAAATATTTGCTAGAATATTATCGAAGTAAATATTTACCGTGATTTTGATCAAATTCTTAAAACGTTGTGAAAAATAAATTTCTCGAATGAAAAAGGGAAATTAAATAAATATTACAAATATCCAGCTTAAAAATATAAAATTATACTGACGTTCCTATCTTTGTGTTCAACTGCGAGATTTATGTTAAAGTTATGAAAACACTTTTTAATTTTTTAATGAAATTTAAAGTAAAATGTCAATCAACTGAAATATTGAGGATTAAAATACTTTTAATTATTTCAGGTCTTCTATATATGTCATGTCTTGTTATTTAATTCGTTCAATTTATTCAAACATTTCAATTCAACGTATCACTTGGGACACATCTAATTGCAAGTTAAAATGGGAACTTTTACATATTCATAGATCACAATTTATCGCGTTAATTTGAATATCGTGATTGCTGGACGTGAACGTTCGAATTTGCGAACTTGCAAGTTAACCCATTGACTGCCAGACATATTTAGAGTGCGTTGCCCTGGGTGCCAAGGTTTTATTTTGAAGAATACATGAAATTTTACAAAATATAATTATATTAAGTTACTGATATAATATTGTAATAGCATTTACAGTAATAAATAGCATTTTTCATTCACCTTTTTAAAATATTTTTAACTGAAATGGCCATTTGTAATTAATCTAAAATTGCAGCACGCACTACGAGATATCTCGTAGCTGGCAGTTTTGATACACACGCTTACTACGAGATATCTCGTAGCTGGCAGT